TTTTTATTTTGGGAGCGACACCTGGCAAGGCTTAGGAATACTTAAGGCTTGATGCTCAGTGATCACCACTGGCAGTACTTGGGGAACCATTTGCAATGCTAAGAATCAAATCAGGAACGGTTGAAATCAAGTAAAGCAACTTAACCTCTATGCTATGGAGTTTTAAGTGTTAATATTTTACTTTTTAAATAATTTGTATTGTGTTTTGTTGTCAAGGTTTGTCCACGTGTCATTTGGATTACGTTTTTAGAAGAACGTACTTTAAAGCAATAGTTGTAATGATTTTATTATAAATAATATAATATTTGACATCTTTATTAAAGTTACAGTGTACCTCTGTCCTCTATTTTGATTTCCATTCATATAGCTTTGAATATATTAATAACATAGATATTTGGGGCTAGAGAGATAGGCCAAGGCTTTTGCCTTGCTGTAGACCTGGATTTGGTCCAGACCACCTATGTAGTCCTCTGAGGCCTGTCAGTAATGCTCCATGCTTGAAGATCCAGGAGTAATCCCAGATCACTGAAGCCCCCAAATAAAATAAAAGAAAAGGAATCACACACACATGCACATACACAAGTACACATATATTTGCATGTATCTCTATATATGTATACCCCAAACAGTACAATTCTTTCCACTTTATAGGTCCAGAAGAAAAGCATCGACAGTTTTTGAAGTGTGGAGAGGATGTCTTCCAAAACCCAGAGAGGTGACAGTTTAATAAATAAGTTAAACAAATAAACATTAAACTAAAGTATTAAGGAATTGAACATTTTAAGAATTTGTAACAGATCAGTATAGTATTCTCAAGGTAACCTATTAAATAGCAATATATATATTTGAGTGTTATTTGAATTTCAGAATGCATAATTGAAACACATTTGCCTTCCAATATCAGAAATTTTAACTATAGATGATTGCTTAACTATAATACTTAGAGGAAACAAACACACTGTCCTCCCATTGTTCATAGATTTGCATAAGCGGGCCCAGTAACGTCTCCATTGTGAGACTTGTTGTTACTGTGTTTGGCATATCGAATACATCACGGGGAGCTTGCCAGGCTTTTCTGTGTGAGCAAGATACTCTCGGTAGCTTGCCGAGCCCTCCGAGAGGGGCGGAGGAATTGAACCCGGCTCGGCCAGGCTGACTGGGAGCAAGGCAAATGCCTACCACTGTGCTATCTCTCCAGCCCGACTTACAGGAACAATAACCTAAAATAATATCAGATACCTAGATGAAAATAAAATTCCAAACTTTCAAATTCAGATATATTTTAAGTAATTGCAACTTAAATATTTATGTACTATTACATTGTTAGAAATGACACATTTCATTATGGGGCAATGAGTAGAAATTTTTGATCAGGCTATAGAGATTCCGTATTTTAAAGGATAGAAGCAATTGTAATGGCTTTAAAATATGTGTTAAAATGCTCTAAAGTATAGTTTGGTCCTTATTTTTTCATTGGAAGTAAACTTTTATACAAAATACTTCAGTGTAAAATTAGGTGAAGTGGGTTGAATGAGACCGTGATAACCATTTCTGCTAATTCCTTTAAATCAAATAGTGCTTTGAACCTTTACCTTTTGTACTAAGAACATGTTGTTCTTGGACTATACAGAGACTATGGGCATTTTTATTCAATGCCCTCAACTAAAATGAAAGAACTGCATTTGTATTTACAAATCAAGTTTAACATTTTGACAAATACCTGAGTACTTACAAAATCATTTCTTTATGAAAATTAAAACATTCTTTCTACATGTATATAATTTGATTATTAAACTACTCTGCCATATAAAAATCATGACTATCATATAGTCAAACGTGTTTTTATATTTCAGAGTGCAAATTTTGAAATAAAGTAAAGAAAGGACACTGATAAAAGATTTTATGAGGAAGCAGATACAGAGTTAATTAGATAACTAGGACAAAGAGTAAATGGTGAATCATATTGACTTGTGAATCATGTGAATAGCCTCCGTGTGAGTTTATAATAAGCAGTTGTTCCTAAATAAAGTAATATTTATAATTTAAATACATAAGAATGCATTTGTATTTTTGCTTTGTTTGTTTGTTTGTTTGTTTGTTTGTTTTGGAGGCCACACCAGTTCTGCTTAGGGCTTACACCTGGCTTTGCACTCAGGAATTATTCCTGGTGGGACTATATGGGATGCCAGGAATTGAGCCCAAGTTGGTTGCATGCAAGGCAACTATGCTATTGCTCTGGCCCTGCATCTGGACTTTTATATACTCAGATCTATATATTAAAACAACTCTAATTATTACTTAACATTATTATTTTGTTTGGGGAGGCACAATCAGTAGCACATGGGGCTTAATCCTGACTCTGCTCAGGAATCAGTCGAGAAAGGGGTTGGGGAACCATATGTGGTGACAGAAATAGAACCTTGGGTTCGCCACATGCAAGGCAAGCACCCTGTGTGCTGTGCTATTGTTCCAGCCCCTGAGATTTAATATCATTTTTCAATATAAGTATAGAGTTTTGTATTATTGTGTATTAGTAATTTATTTCACTTGCAATATTTTTGGAAAGTGGGATTGTTTAAAGACCCTTATTTTTCCCCTGAATGCTAGGAAACATACTGAACTATGTAATCATTCACAGACTCCATTTCTATTTGTCTTTTACTCAGAAGATTTCTATTGAGGGAATGGCAGACTTTTTCCAACTTCTCAGTAATCTTTCTTCCTGCTCCTCAATCATGGTGATATTAAAAGGCATTAGAGAAACAGGGCATAAGAAAATGTCTCAAATTCTCCTGGTCAAGACCTGAGCATTTAAAATGGTTAATGATAGTTTTGTAAGCTATTATATTTCAATTAGTAAGGTCTCTAATTTATCTCTTCCCTTCTACTTAAATTGCAATATGGAGATTTCTCAAAAACTAGAAATTGAGTGCCCATTAGATCCAATTATCCCACCTCTATATATCTCTCATCACATTAGAAAACTATCAATTCAAAGAGATATTTACAAGCCCATGTTTGTTGCAGTAAAATAGCCAGGATATGGAAGCAACTCGATTTCCCAGTAACAGATGAATTGGTAAAGTAGTTACTACACATATTTACACTAGACTAATATATGCAACCACCAGAAAATAATGAAGTCATCCAATTGATAGAATTGGAGAGTATAATGCTGAGTGAAATAAACTCTAGACAGAATGACAAACACAAGAAGATCTTACTCATCTATATTATATAGAGAAACATGTCAAGGTTTTAGGTTGTTATAAACCAATAAAAAATTTCAAAAACTAGAATGCAAATAGAAGATTATGGGGAATGGAGTGGGAGGACTGAATAGGCTGTTGGCAAATAACACTGGAAACATTGGTGGAAGATTTCAAGTACATGTTTGGTGCTAAGGGAGGTAACAGCATAAACGAAGACCATAACTAACAATTAGCAAATAATAACACAGATTTTCAGGAAGAAACAGTGGACTAGAGAAGAAATAGGGATGGTAGAATGTTTGTGGACACTTTGACATCACGGATGAGAAGAAGTAATGTTGTACATTAATAATGGAAACTTAAATATTATTGCACCCTATCACCTAAACTAGAGCAAAACATTTTAAATAACTAAATTGAATTTAAAAGATGCAAAGTACTATAAAATAAATATGTAATGCATGCCTTAGTACATTTCTAAAACCACTTTCAAAATTTAAGAATATATTAACTTTCCAATATAACAAGAAGTTTTGTCAAAATAAAATATGAAAATATATTTTTAAATGTCACTTGATGAAACTTTGTATTTGACATATAACCTGGCATTTTTACGTAGCAACTTTATTGTACTGTATAAGTTAATTAATTGCAGATGTTCTCATGCTGAAAAACCATTTCAGCAGTACTCAAAAACCTTTGTTAGAAGGTCACAATGAATCTTTTAAATTTCAGTGCAGTATGGTCAAACTTATTTATTAGCTTCCAAATTGGACAGTTTCTAGAATTATCATTCACAATGAAGACAGTTAATTAGAAAATCTGCTGAGTCAGAGATAAAATTACAACCCGCTATTAAAAAAAGAAATATGGTATATTACTTTATTAATATAATTATATCACATAATAAATTAGAACTCATATAAGTATTTCTTTATAAGTTTCTATCATAAACAATATAATATATTTATGGTTACCTCTCAAAATAGTTCACATGTTTAATTTCACCAAGAAGATTTAATTCCTGTAAGGAAACCATTTTTCACAATGATTGTAATTTTACCTTAATTTAGTTACACTTTTTTTCCATTAATAAAAAAAGAAAATTATCCTATCCTCCACTATACTAATGTAGAAACAGCATACCAAATATCCAGATTTCTACATAGCCCCATGTTGAACTTTTATATAATTTGAAGCGTTAAAAATTGTTTATAGATTTTATGCATTAATTACACTGCAGAAATCATCAATTGCTTTTACAATTATTGTTTTTACAACTTACAAATCCTGAAGTAAAAGTCAAATGATATAAGAAGCTGTCCCATAGTCTCACATAACACTAATAAAGCATCAATATATAAGAACAAATAAGGATATGGTGCTAAATTAGAACTTTTAAATTTTGTCATTGTTGTCCAAACTAACAAACTTTTAAAAAGTTCTACATGACTCATTAATTTTGTACACAAAATCACAACTTTTTGGATAGTTGAGCAAAAAAATATACAGAGAGCATTGTTAACTATAATGAATATATTTTAGGGCTAAAACAATACTGAATGGACAAGGTATGTAATAAAGAGAAGTTAACTACAACTCTAAAATATATTTTCCATTAATTATAAAATATAAATATTTTGTTTTCCTTTAATGACTTAGAGTAAAAGCGTTTTTGAAAGACCTTCATTCACTTCATGAGTTCAGAGATTAGTACATATCTTCTATTTAAAATAGGGAAAGTTAACATAAATTCTGTTTTTTAGTTATACCATCAAAAACTCCTACCTCACTGTAGAATCTGCTGTATTGTCATTAGCCATCATATCCAATTCTTGTGAAGGCTTCTCACAGTCTTCTTTGAACCAATTCTTCTCTGGCACTGCTTTAAGAGTATCTTCATTTGGTCGAAAATGGTCTGTCAGGTTTTCTTTTTGCCAGTTCTGAAGGACTTTTTGATAGGCAGGGACGCCTCCTGACTCTGGTTCCAGTATGTTGTGGTGGACAGGACTGTTGCTTTTCTTCAGTCCGTTTCTGTCCCTAGAGTGATTCTTCAATCTGCCCTGAACCGAGGTCCCTCTGTGCTCATATCCTTCCTGCTGAAGGCAGTTTCCACTGTTGGGTGAACCTTGAGAAGGATGACTAAACCACCTCCAACGCAGCCTTAGGATCTGTTTAACATCAAACTCTTTCTTGCCAGGCACTGACATTTTTTAAATTTTTTTGCGAGAGGGGAAACAAAGGCCTTCTCTCACAGAAAGGAAACGGAACCTTTGCTATCTCTTACTTCTCTGCCTCTTCCGCAGAACTAACAAAATTACAATTGCAGAGAGCAGTTTTACCCACCCACCCCGCTTCCCTGCTGTCTGTATTACATTGTGAATATTTCTAGCTTTCTAGCTGAAGTAGAAAACTGCGACTAACACTATAGGTGGGAACCCATACTGACAGGATGATGAGGTCAGACCTTAAAGAAGTAAATCAGTTTAGCACAGGAAAGCAGCTACCACAAAACACTCCAGCTGCTTCATTTGCATGCTTTCAGCTTCCACTTAGACTTGCAAATGTCTAACCCAGATTTATTTCTTAGAAAAACTCAGTAGCTATGGCTCAAACCCTGGAAAATGAGAAAAGCAAACTATTTAAACTCACTTCCTTCTTAACTCTCTCCACTCACCCCACCCCTTGCCATATTTATTTATTTCCTGATAGCCCACTTCTAAAAATGTGCCTATTGTCTTAGGAAAATTTTTAACAGCGGATTCATTCCGCTGTTAAAAATTGGGAATTTTTCTTACTGAAAGTTTGAAATTATTAAGCAAAAGCACTTTGTCATCAGGTCCCTCGTGCAAGTTTGTAACTATTCTTGAGGAACCTAAGCTGTGTTTGTCTTTATATTAATGAAAACCTATGTTTCAGAAAATAAGTGTTGGCTACCCATGCCACACACACACACACACACACACACACACACACACACACACTCACACGCAGCACATCACACCATCTGGGGCTGTAGAAACAATAACCTAAAGAAATAGAGCAGTGTTTTTCTAATATGATTATGTTGGAGGAAAAAACGTTTTAACCAAAACTTGAGAATTATTAGTTCAGTTTGGCAGGATGCCTGAATAAATACCTTTTTATCATGCTCTTTGGTTTCACAGGCAGTATCCAAGGTCTATTTTTTTTTGCTCAAATGTCCTTATGATAGGGTGCTAAGTGACATGATTTGAGTTAACTCCAAGTTGTAACAGAGCTCAGATAAAACTGCACATGAAGTATGAATAGTAGTGAATCAGAATCACTATTTTATAGAGAGGTACATGTTTCTGTAAAATGTTATGTACCAGGAGAAGTCAACAATTACACTTTGAAATTTAGTTTGAACTTTATCCGACTCCCCCTATAATGCAAATAGCTAATGAAGAGAATGTTATTTTAGCATATGTTAGAAACAAAAATTAAAATTATACAGTTTTGATTTTTTCTGACTGTAAGGGTAAGCTGTATGTACACTACACATTACTAGTCTTCTTTGTATTACACTTCCCATACATAATAAGATAAATATCAGATTTCTAAATTTCTGTGAGAAGTAGAGTGCAGTAGACTATAAAATTATGAAAACAAACAACTGAAAATCATCCTGTTTGTGTAGGCATAGACAATATTTATAATTTATCAAAATTCTATTTTAATTTTTCCTTTGAAATTTTATTTTTATAGGTATAATTGTAAATTTATTTTGAAATTTCCACTTACTTATGTCTTTGCTAGTCCCATGTATTCAGGTAGCTTGTGTCTCCATTTTCATTTTGTTTCCAAGATTTCTAAAAAGTTCCCGACAGATTTCCTCATTGAAGCAATATATTCAAAAAGTATGCATTTTTAGTCATAAATTTTGCATGTTTTTCTTTAGCTTTTGTGTATGAATTCTAATTGTATTCAATCAAATACAAAATGACGCTTAATACAGTATTTATGACTTTTATGACACATTTTGACTAGAAGACATAGTCTGTCCTTGAGACTCTTCCCTGAGCTTCAGAAAAGAATTTACCTTTGAATTTTTGTGGAGAACCCTGTAAAAATTAAGATTGACCCATTGTGTTTTTCACTAACAGTGTTGTTTCTTTTGGGGCCAGGGCAGTTTTCAGGGGTAAATCCTGGCTCTGATGTCAGGAATCACTCCTGGAGTTGACAGGGAGACCATTTAGGATGCTGAATATCAAACCCAGTTTGACAAAGAGCAAGGTAAATGCCCTACTTGCTGTTCTATCTCCAGCGGGTCCAGTAATTGTGACAATTGTTACTGTGTTTGGCATAGTGAATACGTCACAGGTAGCTTGCCAGGCTTTGCCATGCGGACGAGATACTCTCGGTAGCTTGGAGTGATAGAACAGCGGTAGGGCGTTTGCCTTGCATGCAGCCAACATGGCCGACCTGAGTTTGATTCCTCCGCCCCTCTCGGAGAGCCCGGCAAGCTACCGAGAGGATCTCGCCCACACGGCAGAGCCTGGCAAGCTCCCTGTGAAGTATTCGATATGCCAAACACAGTAACAACAAAGTCTCCAATGGAGACATTACTGGGCCCGCTCGAGCAAATCGACAAACAATGGGAGGGTTGTTCTATCTGTTCAGTTTAGTGGTGTTTCTTTTCTTTTTCAATTTCAGTAATGTTCATCTATTCATTGGTCAGAGTGAGAGTAAGATATCATGTTCTTATTGCTCTTGTACCACTGTTAATGTCTATTTTTGAGGACTAAGAGTTGCTGTTTTATATATATATTGTTGACATCCATTTGAACTAATAATTAACTTATGATAAACTAATTATTAACTAACATTAACGAATGATTAACTTATCTTGATGATCCCAAATTCAATATATAATGTCTGTCTGTGTGGCTTGTTTCTTTTATTTTTTAAAAAAATTTTATTAGTGAAACACCATGAGGTATAGTTGTATACTTTAAAATTTTTGTGCTTGGGTTTCAGTTATACAATGATCGAGCACCCATCCCTCCACCAGTGCCATTATCCACCACCAATGATCCCCGTGGCCCTCCTATCCCCCATGCCCCTCATTCCACCCCTCCTCTCTGCCACAATATTCCCTTCTGCATTCTCTCTCCTTTTAGGTGCTGTGGTTTGCAAAAGAGGCATTAAATGACAATCATGTTTGGTCTATAGTCTACTTTGAGCATACATCTCCCATACTGGGAGGATCCTCCCAACACCCTTGGTGTTCCCTTCTCTAACTGCCTTTTCACCTAGTATGTGCAGCTGGCCTCCAAGCCATGGAGAGAACCTCCTAGAACTTAATTCGGCTATACTTGGGTATTAGTCTCCTATTTTGTTACTTTATTATGCCCAGATGAATGCAATCCTTCTATGTCTGTCCCTCTCATTCTGACTCATTTCGCTTAGCATTATACTTTCCATGTAGTACCAGTTGTATGTAAATTTCATGACTTCATCTTTTCTAACAGCTACATAGTACTTCATTGTGTAGATGTACCAAAGTTTCTTTAACTAGTCAACTGTTCTTGAGCACTTAGATTTTTTCCAGATTCTGGCTATTGTAAACAGTGCTGCAATGAACAAAAAGTGAAGACGTCACTTCGACTCTAGTTTTTTGCCTCTCTGGGATATATCCCCAGGAATGTATTTCTGGGTTAAATGGGAACTCAATTTCTAATTTTTTGAGATCGTCCATACTGTTTTCGAAAGGGCTAAAGCAGTCGGCATTCCCACTAGCAGTGAAGGAGGGTCACTTTCTCGCCACATCCGCACCAACACCGGTTGCTTTTGTTCTTTTGGATGTGGGCCAGTCTCTGTGGTGTGAGATGATATCTCATTGTTGTTTTGATCTGCATCTCCCTGGGGATTAGTGATGTAGAGCATTTCCTCATGTGCCATTTAGCCATTCAGATTTCTTCTTTGAGAAAGTTTCTGTTCATTTCGTCGCCCCAGTTTTTGATAGGGTTGGATGTTTTCTTCTTGTGGAGTTCAACCAGTACTTAGTATATCCTTGATATCAACCCCTTGTTGGACGGGTATTGGGGAATATCCTTTCCCATTATGTAGATTATCTTTGTATTTTGTTAACTGTTTATTTTGATGTGCAGAAGCTTTTAGTTTGAGATAGTTCCATTTGTCTATGTTTTCACTTGCTTGTCAAGTGGTGTCTCATCATAAGATACCGTTAGGTTTAAGGTCGTGGAGGGTTTTGCCAACCTTGTCTTCCATGTACCTTACGGTTTCAGTCTGATATTGAGGTCTTTAATCAATTTTGATCTTACCTTTGTACATGGAAAATATACTTGATTTCTTTGTACATGGTGTTAGGCAGAGATCTGAGCTCATATTTTTGCAAATAGCTGTAAAGTTTTGCCAGCACAATTTGTTAAGAGGCTTTCCTTGCTCCACTTCAAATTCCTTGCTCCCTTATCAAAGATCATCTGATTATATATTTGGGAGGGCGTGTCAGTATGTTCAACCATGTTCCATTGGTCTGCAGCTCTGCCTTTGTCCAGTAGCATACTGTTTTAATTATTACTACTTTGTAGTAGAGTTTGAAGTTAGGGAGGTTAATTCCTCCCATTTTCTTTGTCCCAAGAATTGCTTAAACTATACGTGGGGGCTTATTGTTCCATATGAATTTCTGGAGTGTTTGCTCCACTTCCTTTTAGAATGTCATGGGTATTATTATGGGGATCGCATTGAGTTTGTACAATGCTTTGGGAAGTATTGCCATTTTGACAATGTTAATTCTCCCGATCCATGAGCAGGGGGATATCTTTCCATTTCCTCGTGTCCTCTTTTATTTCCTGAAGTATCGTTTTGTAATTTTCTTTGAACAGGTTTTTTAAATTCTCATTTAAGCTGATTCCTAGGTATTTGATTTTTTGGGGCACAATTGTGAACGGGATTGTTTTTTTCATGTTACTTTCTTCTCTCTCACTATTTGCATCTAAGAAAGCCCTGGACTTTTGGGTATTGATTTTATAGCCTGCAACTTTCCTACACAAGTCTATTTTTTTCTAGGAATTTCTTGGTAGAGGTTTTAGGGTTCTCTAAATATAGTATCATATCATCTATCAAAGGTAAGAGCTTGATTTCTTTCTTTCCTACCTGAATCTTTTCTTGCCTAACTGCTCTTGCAAGTACTTCAAATACAATATTGAACAGCAGTCGAGAGAGTGGGCATCATTCTCTCATCCCTGATCTTAGAGGGAAGGCTCTTAGTATTTCCACATTGAGGATGATGCTTGCTGTAGGCATGTGGTAGATGGCTTTTATTTTATTGAGGATAGCCTCTTCTAGACCCAATTTTGCAA